GGGGGTTTTGGGGGATTTTTTCCCTAGAGGAACATTCGTCTATATTAGGGACTAATATCGGTAATTATGTTTCCATGGGGACGTTTGTCTGTGCCTGGGGATATTCGGGGACAAAAATTAGACCCCGTAGGGACTAGGGACATTCGATTATATTAGGGACTACTGTTGGTAATCATCGGGGACAAAAATTAGTCCCCAAAGGGACTATCTGTAGAAGGACAATCGGCTATAATAGATACTAATGCATGTAATTTTTCCTCATGGAGAAATTCTTCTATACCGGGGACATCCGGGGACAAAAATTAGTCCCCGGAGGGACTTTCTAAAGGGACAGTCGGCTATAATAGGGACTAATGTTGGTAATTATGTTCCCATGGGGACATTCGTCTGTGCCGGGGACATCCGGGGACAAAAATTAGTCCCCAAAGGGACTATCTGTAGAAGGACAATCGGCTATAATAGATACTAATGCATGTAATTTTTCCTCATGGAGAAATTCTTCTATACCGGGGACATCCGGGGACAAAAATTAGTCCCCGGAGGGACTTTCTAAAGGGACAATCGGCTATAATAGGGACTAATGTTGGTAATTACGGCCCCATGGTGACACTCTTCTGTGCCGGGGACATCCGGGGACAAAAATTAGTCCCCGGAGGGACTATCTGTGGAGGGACAATCGGCTATAATTGGGACTAATGCATGTAATTTTGCCCCCAAGGGGACATTCTTCTGCGCCGGGGACAAAAATTAGTCCCCAAAGGGACTATTTAAGTTGTGGTATGTTCGGAAACATTCATTTGATAACATGCCTCGAACGCGTAAGGTCTGTCCCATGTGCGGAAAGAAAGGTTTATTAAAATTATCTAATCATTTAACCAATGTTCATAAACTATCTACTCAAGAGAGACAACCATACCTTATTCGTGCTAAGAAAATGCCTATTGATAAAGCTAGCAACGGTATTGATCGAGTTGCAAAAGATAAATAGACTGATCGAAAAGTATCTGCTTTCATTTTTATCATGTACTCCATACAGTTAAGACACCCGCTCTTCCGATCTCTTCTCGTTTCTGGCGGTACAAAATCAGGCAAAACCACCTTTGTGAAAAGGCTTCTCAGCTATGCCAATGTGCTGATTTATCCAACGCCGGAAAACATTACTTACTTCTATGCCGAGTACCAAGACACGTTTGGAGAAATACAAAATTTAGTTCCTGGTATAAAATTCATACAAGGCTTGCCGGATAATATATTGGACAGTATCAATCCAGAAACACGCAATTTGTTCATCATTGACGATATGATGGGTGAGAAGGACGGAGTGTTTTCTAAATTGTTCACGAAAAAATCACACCATGGTAATCTAAGCGTGATCTACACTGTGCAAAACTTGTTTCACCAAGCAAAGAGCATCGAACAATATCTCTCAATGCAAGTTATTTATGTTTAATGAAAAATATCCGCGATGCAAGTCAAATTACTCATCTCGCTAAACAGCTATACCCGAGTCAAACGAAATTTTTCCAACAAGCTTATCAATTGGCAACGAAAGAACCTTATTCTTATCTATTTGTCGACTTAACTCCTACATGTCCTGACGAGATACGGATTCGATCCGGGATCTTTCCAACTGAAACGCATTATGTCTATCAACCCAGAGTATAAGAATGTGGGAACGTGTGTAAAATGTTCATTTGATCATGTCTGCTTGTATGAAGAGGAACTCCGAACTTCTGAAAGTATTGGCCAAGTGCAAACCCGAACTGAGAAAAGCTATTTTGAAAGCGTCTGAAGACGATCTGTTTGAAGCTATAAGACAATGTCTATTAAACGTTTGGTTTGAAACGGTTAAACTGAAACCGAAAACAGCTAAAAAACTTGCACCGCATTCCAAGCATATAAAGTTTGCGGCTGACAAACGAATTCCTGTCGTAAAAAGAAGAACCCGTCTAGTCCAAAAAGGGGAGGGTTTCCTACCGTTTCTACTCACTTCAGTTTTGCAACAGCTGGCTAACTTTTTATGATGGAGCACGTCAAAAGATTGGTCCTTGTCCCTGAACATATGGTTGAACAGCGAAAGAAATCTCTCGCGGCGCCCCTGGCGACACAGGTCAACGAAATAGACTTGGACATGCAAGATATTATTCGACGACAAGATATACCAATCGATGAAAAGGCAAAGTTATACGACCAGAAGCTGCAACGCTATTCGACCTTTTATGATAAAAGAATGAATAAACCTCTCCGAGTAAACGTGACGCACGCCGATAAAGCTGAAGACCCTCAAGGAGAACAGCCCAGTGAAGAGACGGAAACTTCAGACGAGATTGAAACAGATATCATGGACAGTGTACCAGCCACTATGAAGTCAAGAGCTCGACAACTCATCAAAAAACTCAAGTCAAATAAAGATCTTGTTGGTTGGAATGAACAAGGCCAGATGGTGTTCAAAGGAAGATCGGTTCCTAGCACAAATATAGTTGATTTGGTGAATGATTCTCTACGTCAAAGGAAGAATTTCAACCCCGACGGCTGGGAATTGTTTTCAAAAGTTCTCGGGCATTTGAATGTACCCGAAGGTATTGTGAGAAACGAAAACCGTCTTGGAATTGTTCGCGAATATAAAACCAAAGGTATCCCGGAAAATCTACCCACCACCCCTCGAGTGCAGCAAGAAAAGAGAAAAAACCGCAGAGACAATATTAGTAGTCCATATAAATGGTTAAAATAATTTATTTCTTGTAAGAGAATATTTTACAATAAATGTTTTTAAACTAAATCTAGTGTTTGTACCACTTGTCTATAAAGTCACGCACAAGCTCATCATTCCATTCTTTGCTATCCGTAAACATATTTGCAATGGTTGACATTGGAATACGTCTACATCGATGTAAAGCAAAGAATAATGTATACTGTCCACACACGTCTGATGAAGGGGCTTGCAAAATTCTTCTGTTCCATGTAAATGTAGCGCAATGCTTGTCCAAAAATTGAGTAAAGTTCTGATTGTAAAATCCAGGAGCCTGACCATACGAATCCCAAAATTCCCCTTTACCATCTTCTGTAAGGTACATTGCAATCCAGTGTGATCCGGGCATATCCGATGCGTCCGTGTTAAGTATGTACCCTCTAGGCCTCTTTCTTATTCCGCGAGGTAAACGATCTGACGGTAAAACGTCCGTAAACACCGTTTTTGTAAATGGATCATTCTTGAGAATGTTCATAATCTGCAGCGAGTTCATCTTCAGTTGTTGAAATCACACAGCACGTTCCGGTTCGCATCAATTTCGATAAGACTTTGAAATTCACCAAGTACCACGATATTTATAGCTGTCTCCAACGGTGTTCCAAATCGACATTCAATTGACACATTTCCGTTCTTAATCGGTTGTACATGATCACCAAGGCATAAGTCAGGAGTGAGATCAAACACAAACAGTGTATAACCGTTTGCATATTCTTCACGCGTTATACCATTACCCTGATTATCAAAAATCTTGTGTGCGCCGGCGTACAGGGTTTGAAAAGCGGAAATGTAATTACTGTCTGCTCCAAATTTCAACTGTAGTGGTTTTCCAGGTAAGTTCTCTCCGTTGACAGTGAGACCCATGGTTGTGATATCGTAATTTTTAAAATTGAACGGGTTCTTCGTATATGTACCGTTAAAGGCATCCGCGTCGACCATTCCAATCACGATACGATTTGGTAAGCCACCTTGAAATATATTAGGTTGATTTCCAGACATATTCCCCCGAGGTACGGAGACAACCTTACAGTCGATCCTGTTGATTGGGTATTTGGCAGTGATTTGTTGAAGGGACTGGGAATGAGCCAGTATAATGCTAGGGGCTACGTTAACTCGTCGTACACGAAACAAACATTCCTCGATGACCACTTTGAAATTGGGATCTTCTGCGGATGATACCAAACAAAACGGATCCCTAGATCTCACCAGCTTGATCTTGATTGGAACAACACCAAGAATATAACGGTCTTGCGCGAATAGATAAGAATGAAGTCTTCCTTCCATGGCGACAGATTTGCTTTCACGTGTATATGCATGGCGTTGTTTTAATCCCGTGTTGACGTTGGCATCTTGTGCGAGAGGGTTTACTACATCCATCTTTCCAGCTTTATCTTTATAGAACAGTGCTGAGGTCAAATGTGAATCCTTGGCGTCTTTACTAAAGTTCAGGATCGTTTCGATATACGCTCGGTAAGGGTATGCTGTGCTTGATGGGGTGACCAGTTTGTTGTTCAGAAATACTTCAACTTGTGAGAATAATGCATGCATCCAAAGGTTTGAAGGTCCAACTTGAATGTCGGCACCCACATTACCTCCGGCCGCAGTAGTGATCTTTGCTTTAACGTATAGGTAACTGCTTGCTAAGTCGGTATAAACACCAGAATTTGCAGCACATAAAAATTCTATCGTATCTGAAGAAGATATGCTCGTAATAGGATCAATATCTTCCCAAAATCCTTTTTCCATTACCACTTGAGTCGGTGGAATAGAAAATAAATCGAGTTCAGATTTTGAGCACATACAGGAGTCTTTATGCATTGTTTCAAGAGCCATGCCACTTTGGACTATAGTTATCGAGAGATGTTTTCTGCTTCTTGGTTGGACCGCGAATGGGAGTTTTAGTTGGCGCTGCTCTTTTTATACCCTTTTTGCGACCCTTTCCGGTCATTACTTTCCTGGCAACATCAGATGCTGCTTGTTTTCCTCGTGATTTAAAAGCTTCTTTTACATTTTTTCCTTGGAGTACATCTTGACCGACTTCTGTGGCTGCTTGCAATGCTCTTTTGCCAACAAGTTTAGCACCTTGTTTGATTATAGGGATAGCATATCTCGCAAGGCTCTTGAAAATACTTCCGATTCCATATCCCCTTTGCATACGTGCACCACGAAACCCAGCGATATTCCCACCACGTTGCTGTCTCAAGAAATGGTCTTTCAATAGTTTAGCATCCACAACTAGTCTTCCGCGCATTTTTTAGATAAAGTACTGAGATCTCTTCTGTCTAAAGTGAAGTGTTGCGATTGACTTCCCGAACTCAAATGAGACGTTTTCGTTTTGGTCATTCTTTATATTCACTTCAATGGTCTCAAAAGAATTTACTTTGACCGGTACGTATTGCAAATTACGAAAACTGGCGTGAACGGTGTTTCCATATTCCCCTTCGATATTAACGATTCGTAGTAAAGGAACTTTCACATCGCCCACAAACTGTGCATCAACGATATCAGTATAGACATACATGGAGGAAAATCCACCATTGATATCTGCAGCATAGGGACTCGACGTTTTCTTTTCAATAAGTGTGTCCTGGTCAAATCCCAAGACCGTTGCTAATTCGCCGGTAAACCACCCAGTTGTGCCGTGTTTTACATCAATCAAAACCTTGCGAGAACTGCGATTATAACTAAACTTTACTTTTGCCTGTGTTTCTTTCGACATGCCGGCATTGAGTGTTTTTGTTAGTTGGTCGATAGAAGAATATTGTGTTTCTTTAAACACGACAGTTTGATAAGGGTTACTGTCAATTTTATACAAAAACGTTTGTTGCACTCCACGTTTTAGCGTGCTCCACGTATGTGGATAATGCATTCAGCCAATTTCACTCGAAAATTCGCTACCGTATTATTTGGAAAATAGGCTAACGAACTATTACTCGGTAGCGTGATATAAAACTGTGTTGCCATATTGAAGACCAATACACAAATGAACACAACTGATAAGTTTCAAATACATTTATTTAATATCTTTTACACTCTCTGCTGGTACCCAAGAATTAAATTTATCTGGGTAGCCCAACCATTTTACAAAATACTCTTTACGTTTATTACGCATGCGTGATCTAAGTACTTCTTCGACTCTATAAAAATCACTGTCTGTTTTATTCACTCTTTGAAGCTCTTGTTCGTAAAATATTCCTTTCAATTCTTCGTCATCAAAATCAGCGATCTTGTACACGGGTGGGCGTCGAAGAACACGTTTGGTTATCGTAAATACTTCCTCGGTCCAATTAGGTAAGTATCCTTTCTTAAATGTGCGCCTTGCTTTGCTGATTCGTACTTGGTCGCCAATGTTAAACTTGAACCGAACGGATTTGTCTGACTCTTCTCCATAAAGTTTTTGCCACACAATGCTCTCGTTGTCTTCATTTACATCAACAGGCCTCATCCCAATACTACGATGTCTCGAATGATTATAAGATTTGACCAGTTTCTGGAGAATGTCCACGTACTTGAGCGTATTCTTCGCTGTAAAGTATTTCCACATTTTCGTCTTGAGCGTACGATTAACCCTTTCGACAATCGATGCCTTGGTCTCGTTTTGCGTCGTGAAAAACCGGATGTTATGTTTCTTCAAAAAGGCTTGAAACTTTCGATTCATAAACTCTGTCCCTTTGTCGCTGTGAAACGTTTCAGGCTTTCGACCTTTTTTCAGTATTTTCTCAAAGGCTTTGACAAGATTTTCTCCAGTCTTTGTTTTTATCGGTTCAGCCCACGCATATTTGCTAAGTACATCGATTACAGTTAAAATGTACTTAAAGCCGTTATTGTATTTGCTTATCGAGTCCATAATCACAAGATCCGCCTCCCACTGCTCGTCAATTGCGCCTACAATAACACGGTTCCTTTTGAAACGATATCTTACAGATTTATGTAAAGTATACGTGTCTTGCTTTTGTAGCCATAGCCGTATTTTATTCCGCGATATCTGATGTTTGCCTTCGTCTTTTACGACACGGTAAATTGAATCTATGCCACCAAAGCTTGCGGGACTTTCTGGATTGTAATAGATTTGGCTCAGGTACTTTTCTGCCATCAATGTCTGAGGCTTGAATTACAATTTTCCCTCCACAGCAAGCGGAAATACAACGTACTTTCCGAAAGATATCTCGGAGGGAAATTTCTGGGAGACTTTTACCACAACAGGGCATCCTTTCACCTCAGAGGTTAGAACGAAATGAACCATGCAGCAATCATAGACTAACATATAAAGCTATTAGTGTAAGTGAGAGAGTTATTAAGATTGGTGGTTTATTATTCCTCTTCGCTTTTGGGATATAAAAAGTTCGAAAGGCCTCGACAGTTTTTCGGACATGTTCTCGAACGCTTTCCTCGTTGTCACTTTGCATACAAACTAAAGCTAAATAGGCAAAAATGCGACCAAAGTTTGTCATATTTATTTCTCTGTAGACTTGGTCAAGGTTTAGACCATGAGCACTCATTTCACGATATAGATCTCGATGGTGATTGAAAATTGCATTTATATGAAACGATAAAGTCTGCTTATCGATATCAATTTCATTTTGTCTCAACTCGTCAAAAATTATATTTATATTATTCATTTCACCAGAGAACCTCTCCCCATAAAGGTTAAAACCCAAATGAGAAATATAAGTGATTTATCTCAATAACATACAGAACACATTCATGATGATAAAAACAATTTATTTCGTTTTATTACAGTTATTCATATTTCTTAAGGAATTCTTCATACGCTTCCTTAGCATTAATGTTAGTACTAGTGAATGTTTCTCCCGTGTCTTCATTCTTGTATCGATATTCTAGCGGGTCACTGAATAGGACGAAGCCAGTCTTGGCCACACGAGGTTCGATCTCTTTCCATTCGAAAAATCCACAGCTGTCTATCTGAGGGCAACAGTAAAACAGGCGGTTCTGGGTGGGTCCTTCTTTTTTCACTTTACGTACGGTGCATACCATCCCGTGTTTGCAGCGTGGTCGAGGGCTTTCGTAAACGTCTCCCCATTGCCAAAAGTTGCAAGGATCATGTCGATCAGAACACGTGAAGAAGGGTCTTCCATAATTTTCTTTCATTTTATCTTTTACCACACGTAATTTGGCTAGTCTCTGATGTGTTGGGCAAATGGGATGATTGGAACCACTATTCTGACAGGCTTCCATTGCTCTCGTAAACAGATAACAGTCTTCGTCATGGCAAAAGAACTCGCAGCTCGGTGTTTCGCCACAAAACCAAAACGTACCACGAGCAGTTGTAGAACAAGCAGCTGGTTTACCGTGAAAACATTCCATCGTGAGCGTTGAATACAGACTATGCAGGTGAAAGGACACTAGCTGTATTTATAGTGATGTTACTGCATTGTAATGCTAATTGACCACGTCTGGCCCAGGCCTGCCCTCGTTAATTGGTCGCGCTACCTGTCACAGTTGGCCCAGGCCTGCCCGCGTTAATTGGTCGCGCTACCTGTCACAGGGTTAGGGTTAGGACCAGCAAAGTTGCGTCACATATCTTGCATACTAATTACTTCCGCCGCCAGAGCTTGCATACTAATTACTTCCGCCGCCAGAGCTTGCATACTAATTACTTCCGTTGCTATGCTCATACGCTCATGCAGGAAGAGCAGATCAGCATGTGCTCATGAGCAGTTATGAGCATGTGCTCATACGCTCATCGCACGTGATTTTGAAAATTGAACAGAATCTATACGTAATATAGAGACGCACGGGACTTACTTACGGGGCGCAGGGACACGTCAAAGAGTGATTAGCTTGAAAAAATGCGTTATATAAAGCACTTTTCGCAGTTCTTTTCTCATTCTGTGTCACAATGATGGAGTGCGACAAGCTCTGGGGCACTATATGGCCAGATGCCCCGATTGCTAACCGGGCGTCCTAACCTGGGCAAGCCTCGGCTCAGAGCCGAGGGGGCTGGCTCCGAGCTTAAAGAGCTCGGCTCCGAGCCTAAGGAGCTCGGCTCTGAGCCGAGGCTTGCCCAGGTTAGGACGCCCGGTTAGCAATCGGGGCATCTGGCCATATAGTGCCCCAGAGATTGTCGCACTCCATCATTGTGACACAGAATGAGGAAAGAACTGCGAAAAGTGCTTTATATAACGCATTTTTTCAAGCTAATCACTCTTTGACGTGTCCCTGCGCCCCGTAAGTAAGTCCCGTGCGTCCCTATATTACGTATAGATTCTGTTCAATTTTCAAAATCACGTGCGATGAGCGTATGAGCACATGCTCATAACTGCTCATGACCACATGCTCATCTGCTCTTCCTGCATGAGCGTATGAGCACATGCTCATAACTGCTCATGAGCACATGCTCATCTGCTCATAATGCTCGTTTAGGCCCGAAGACTGGGTGTACATTTTTTCGTGGAAGCCGCTGCAAAGTTTATTCGTAAGATTGAATCATTGAATCGTAAGATTGAATCATTGAATCATAAGATTGAATCATTGAATCATAAGATTGAATTATTGAATCATAAGATTGAATCATTGAATCATAAGAGTGAATCATTGAATCCTAAAGCCATTCGAGGGTGACAACGAAGATAAAGATAAGGATAAGGAAGATAAGAAGATAAAGATAATGATAAGGAAGATAAAAAGATAAAGATAAGGAAGATAAAGATAAGGAAGATAAAGATAAGAATAACGAAGATAAGAAGATGAAGATATGGGTCGATGTAGGGTCGATGTAGGGTCGATGTGGGGTCGATGTGGGGTCGATGTAGGGTCGATGTAGGGTCGATGTAGGGTCGATGTAGCATAGAAACCATGGCGAATGAACAAAATAAGCCAAACGACTCTTATTACAAAAAACATTTAAATTGTTGTGCGTAATTTAAATAAAATCAAACACATTATGCTCTAAGAAGTAGACCACATTAACTTTGTAAACGTCTCGAACAAATAAATGTGTTTTAAGATTGAATTCTTATGTAAACTTTTGGCTGCAAAGCGCGCCTGCATTGTCTAAATTGCGTTCTCTCTTCCAATATAAACCTCATCATTGTTGTTTCCAACCCGCACGGATAACCCGCGACGCTCGCGTAATGAATATCCTAATCTGCCCGTATTTATCCACACAGTAGAAAATGCAAATCTCGGATAAAAAGTTAATCCTTTAATTAGTTTCACCATAACAACACATATCAACCGGTGTGCTTTAATAGTATAGCTTAAATTTATTTACCTTATCCGAGTTTTAGTACTTTAAAAACCTAGCACTAAAATATAGAAATCGCTTGACAATTATATATCATGACCTTTAACTTCCATGTGTTTATATAACTCAGATACTATACAATTACCGGAACGGCAACGAAGAAGCCAGGAATAAACTAAAAGCGATACTACAATTGTAAACGGCATCGCAGTAGCTAGCAATATAAACTGTAGATATAGAAAAGCAAACGGCAGCGATGTAGCCAGCAATATAAACTGTAGATATAGAAAAGCAAACGGCAGCGATGTAGCCAGAAATATAAACGATAAACGGGAACGAAGCAGCCAAAAATGAAACTAAAAGCGATCCTACAATTACAAACGGCATCGCAGTAGCTAGAAATATAAACTGTAGATAAAACAAACGGCAGTAAACGGCAGCGATGTAGCCAGAAATATAAACTGTACTCTGTAGTCGATAAACGGGAACGAAGCAGCCAAAAATGAAACTAA